CTCAGTGCTAAGACCTTGGTATAGTGTCTTCTAGATCCTTTTTTCTGCTTCTTTTTCTTTAAAAATAAAATTTACATGTTTAAATCATTTGACTGAAAAATCTTTGCTTTAACCCCTCTGAATACTTACAAATCCTATGTTGTCTTCCGCACACTGGACTGTAACTTGGGTGGCAACAGATTTGTCATAGATAGCAGCTTCAAATGACTTATTGCATTGGGTAAATCTGCTGCACAAGACTTCTTGAAAGTATGTCACTTTCAAGAATGTCACTTTGAGGAGTTAAGTGTGCCTGACCTAAGCCATATTCTTTTCATTCACCTATTATGTATGTGAAAGTTGGGCATTACATAAGGAAGACCACAGAAGAATTAATGCTTTTGAATTAAGGTGCTTGTGAAGACTATTCAAAGTACCATAGACTGCCAAAAGAATAAACAACTCTGTCTTGCAAGAAATCCATCCAGAATGCTTCTTAGGCGTGAAGTGTTGAGGTTCTGTCTTACGTACTTTAGACAGTATCAGGAGAGACCAGTCCCTGGGAAAGGACAGCATGCTTGGTAAAGCAGAGGGTCCCAGGAGAAGAGGAAGACCCTCAGTGAGATGGATTGATACGGTGACTGCATAAGAATGGTGCAGGACCAGACAGTTTTATTCTGTTGTGCATAACACCGTTATGGATCAGAAACAACTTGCTGACACCTAACAAGAGCAACAAATATGAAAATAAACTGAACATTGGCCAATGCTCTAAATTTAAGTGCTAAACCATCAAACCTCAGGGCCAACTATAGAGGCAAAGCTTCAGGACCTTTGGTGAGCCCAGAGCTCAGATGTGGCACCAGAAGCAGAAGCAGAAGGATAAAATAGACAATGACACCTGTACGAGAAGTCATCTCTCAAGTTCAAGCCAATGCATGTTCTCATTCTCTTGTTCCAGGTTGCTTTTTATAACTAACAATTTTGCTTAGATATAATTTACATAACTTGTAGATCCGCTGTTAAAATGTATAATTCAGTAATTTATAGAATTGGGCAACCAACATGACAAGATTTAGCCTCTGAAACAAAACCATAAAAATCCAATGCAGTTCAACACCATCATCATCATAGCAACTTTAAGCCTCGGAATGTATTTTCAGCGCATCTATACTCTTTTAAGTTTTTACAGATTTTTAAAATTTATACCCAAATAACCTGAATGTTTTTACCTTCCTCAGTTGCATTACTATGTCCAGAACAATTTTACGAGTGCAAGAATGGCTTTGATTGGACTTGGTAAGTTGGAAATTGCCTGTCTTACCTTCTGTAGTAGCAGCAATCCCTGAAACTGTAACTATGGAATACAGAATAGAACACAATTGGAGAGCTCATTTCTCTACTCACATCACATAGGCAGGGTGTGATAGATTTTGTTGAATTGCTAGTCACTTTTCTTGGAAGGCAGAATTCAATAATTAAACTACCTGATTTAAGTTCTTTATAGTATTTGCATCGTGACAAAGGGCCACTTTTTTTTTCTTTTTTTAAATCATTTTATTAGGGGCACATACAACTCATCACAATCCATACACACATCAATTGTGTAAAGCATATTTGTACATTCATTGCCCTCATCATTCTCAATAAGGGCCACTTTTTCTAAGGAGAACCAAAGTCACTGCCATTGAACAGATACCAGCTCACAGTGACCCTGTAAGCAGGGTAGACTTGCCCTGTGAGCTTCCGGGACTGTACCTTCACAGGAGTAGAAAACCCCACCTTTCCCTGCTGGTGATTTTCAACTACTGGTCTTGGAGTTAGCAGCACAAGAAGTCTTAAACTGTATTCTTTTTTTCTTTAGTACAACTGAAATAAATAATGGATATAAACAGACAAATTCTGTATATGTATATATACATATTTATATTTATTGGCCGTTTGCATATCTTTCTAGGAGAAATGTCTCTTTAAGGCTTTTGCCCCTTTTAATTGGATTTTTGTTGAGTTCTAAGAATTCTTTTAGAGACTGCTAGGGGCGGTGGACCCGGTGTGGCGGGGGGAGCAAAAAAAAAAGAATTCTTTAGATATTTTGAATACTAGAGCCTTATCATATTTATAAATAATGTTTTCCCATGGGTTTTATTTTCACTCTTATGGTAGTGTGTTTGGATGTGTAGTGTTTTAATAGCAAAATATTTGAAACATGCAAATGTCCATTAAGAAGGGACTGATTAAATAAATTATGGTAGAGTTATAAAAGACAAGTTCTGAGATAACAGGGTTACATCATTTTAAAAATAAAGAATAGTTACCAATGTGTGCACAGAAACCATTCTATGTAAATATAGCAAACTTTGAAGAGTTGTCTGGGAGAAAAGCGTTACAGGGAAGACTTGTTTTCTTTACTTTTTTGATGTTTGAATTCATAACGTGCTTAAAACAAGAAAAAACTGTAGATGTTGTTTGGTTGTGTTTGGGAAATTGTGTTCTAGCTGGTTTGTGTTTCTTTCGGGATAGGTGTGAGTCATCCTGTTCTAAAGCAGGTGGCTGAACAGTTTCTCAACATGCGGGGCGGACTCGGTTTATCTGGTGCGAAGTCCGTCTACCGTGGAGGTAAGCGTTTTGTTCAGTTTGGGTTACTTTTCCTCGAGGAAGTTCCCACCCTAGAATAACATACTGGAAATTGGTGGCATGCTCACATTCAATCTCTGGTATCGTGCCTCATTCTCGGCCACTCTGTCGGTGGAGTCTTGTTTGTTGCTGTGATTCTGAACAGGTGTCAGTGGAGCTTCCAGACTAAGATTGACAAAGGAGAAAGGCCCGACAGTCATCTTCCTAAAACCAGCTAATGCTGGTCCAATCTTGGGAACAAGTGTGATCCACAGCCAGTTGTGGGGATGGCTTAGGACTGGGCACCGTTTGCTTCCATTAAGTATCTGGTGACCAGGAGTCAGAGACTAAGTTGATGGCATCTAATAAGAAGGCTTAGTTATTTACCATGAAAAAGTCTCAATATGGAAGGAAATAATTAGTTAGGTGTTGTATATGAATTGTGTGGTGTGGGGAGGACAGCTGTTAGGGGTTGACATAGGGAGAACACGGAATGCTGAAGCGTAAAATCAATAATGACCGCCATTTTCATTGCTCTCCCGCGGCTCCAGGTGAAGTTCGAGAACAGAATGGAGACAGTCTGGTACATGCTGTTCTTGTAGCAGAAAGTGCCGCCATAGGAAGTGCAGAAGCCAATGTATTCAGTGTTCTCCAGCATGTGCTCGGTGCAGGGCCACATGTCAAGAGGGGCAGCAACGCCACCAACGCTTTATACCAGGCTGTTGCCAAAGGGATTCACCAGCCATTTGATGTAAGTCTTAGTCAGAGGTGGAGAACCTTTTCTCTGCCAAAGGTCATTTGGATATTTATTAACATCACTCTCAGGCCATACTGGTCAAACATGTAATTAACTCACCCCTAATGTAGTGGCTTAAAACTGCTTCTCTTTAGTGAGGCATGTGATGTTAGCTGGCATGGATGACTTCCCAGGCTTTACATAGCCCCTGGGCCGTGCATTCCCGACCCCTGGCCTTCACAGCTGATGGCGCTCCTTTTGTTTTCAAAGGCTCAGTACTTAAGATATCCAGTCTTAATTCTCATTTTCCGGTAAAGCTTAGCACAGACACAAACAAAACCTTTGTAAAACAGAGACTATCTGGCTTAATTTCAGAGATTTATTATCTTTTCAGTTATTCTCATTTGAATTTGAAAAAATGAATACTTAGAAATAGAGCACTTAGAAATTGATAACTTGTACTCATTAAAACAAGTTTTCCATTTGTACCTGCTCATTTCTGTAGTGCATTGTCCTCATAAATTTTTCATTAAGCATCAGTGATTACACCATTCTTCCACCCAAGCTTCATCTTGAATTGGTATTTTTAGCATAAATTTTAACAGAACTCATGTTGCTCTAACAGGAACCCTTTTCAAACTATCAATTCTTAGTGCCTCAAGCTAGATCCAGTTCAGACATACTATAACTAGTACATGTTTCATTTATGCCACGAGACAAAATTGAAAGTTATGCACAGTTTTTTCCTAATATGCATTTTCCATGAACTTTTTGAAGACCCCTCATATTCTTATGTTTTACAGTGGTTGTTAACCAGTGATTCTCAATTGTCATTGTGCATAAGAATCACTGGGAACACTTGTTCAAAATTGGCTCCCAGGCCACAGGGATTCGAGCCACTAAATATGGGACAGGAACCTAGAAGTTTATATTTTAACAACAATCCAGGTGGTCCTTCCACAAATGACACGTAAATGTGAAACACTGGACTAGGCCGCCCATCAGGTTCACTTTCAGAAGCTGCTTAGATTACAGACAGAAATGCCTCTCTTATTCATAGGCTAAACTTGTTGCTCCTTTGAACATCCGGATAGTAGCCACTTACCTGAAATGTTTCCCCAAATCCTTTGACTTCAGTCTGTAATAGAAAATGGGAATTGGTAGAAAAGTTACCCCCAGCAGCAGAAAGAGGAAACCAAGTCTGGAATGCCAAAGCCCTGTATGCTAGTACGGTACAGGGAGTCTCTATAATAATGTTTGCAAGATGATACTTACAGTGATGCTTCCTGTAATCTCACTCACACATACAGCCAGAAAAAAATACAGAAGAGGAAAGTGGACATCTATTTTTAAAATATTTAAATAAATCATTTGTACTGCTTGGTAGATCTGCGTAAGAGCCAGTTTCTGTGTATTGTTACAGTTTCAGGTTATTTATAGTTGATTTTTGTAAAACTCAAATAACTATACTTGGACCAAATAAATATCATCTGCTTGTTTAAAAAATAATCAGTTAAAACAGTCAGTTACATATAAAAAGGTAACCCGTATAAATGGTTAGTCCTTGATAGTATTGGTTAAGTGATACATGAAAAGCTCTAATTTGCTTATCCTGTGAGGATTCAAGGTTTTGTCTAGAAAACCTTGAGTTTCACCTGGTGGAATAACATCAGAGTTTTGTTCTATTTCAGGTTTCTGCTCCTGGTGGAATAACATCAGAGTTTTGTTCTATTTCAGGTTTCTGCTTTTAATGCCAGTTACTCAGATTCCGGCCTCTTTGGGATTTACACCGTCTCACAGGCTGCAGCTGCCGGAGATGTAAGTTGACAACCCAACCAAATCTCATTGAAAGGTTTTGTTTTTCTCCACAAAAGTGTTTTTTGGCCAAAGTATGGACAGTTTGAATGCCATGACTTATCAAGAGCTCTGTGTAAGGAGCCCTGGAGTCAGTGTCAGGTAACTATTGCACTGCCCACCCACAAGCTGCTCCACAGGATAAAGATGAAGCTGGCTGTTCCTTAAAGACTTACAGAGCGTCCCAAACTCTACATAAGGTCACTGTGTGTCAGAATCAACTCAGTGGCAGTGGGTTGAGTTGAGGGGTGGTTAGTGTAGTAATTGGCATTGGAATGCTATGGAGAACACTAAAAATGTCTATGTTGGCTTCCAAGAAAGATGGAAAAAGATGTGCTGTGATGATAAGTGTTGAACTGCTAACCAACCACAGGTTGGTGACTCAAACCCACCAGCTGCTCCACTGAAGAAAAGATGTGGCTGTGGGGTTTGTTTGTTTGTTTGTTTGTTTATTCTTTATGGGGAGACAGACCCTAGATGGTGCAAATTGGTACTGCATTTGCTAACTGAAAGGTTGGAGATTCAAGTCCACCCAGTGGTACCTTAATAGACCTAGCAATCTACTTCCCAAATGCATCCATTTAAAAGCCTATGGAATGCTGTGCTGTTCTGACAAACAGGGTCATCTTGAGTCCGAGTTGGCCAAATAGCAACTGTTTGGTTTGGTTTTGTTTTTTTGTGGGGAGTTTTTTGGTGTTCTTTATGGAAATTTATAAATCCGTCTACCCTTCCTAAACGCTACTGGTATCCTTTGCCTTCTGCGTCACTCTTGGAAGATGCTGTTATTTTGGCTACTGTAAGTTGTGCAGTCTGCTGCTTTATGGTATGCAGTAAGAATGTGAATTACATGGGGACTTCAAATAGACATAACCTTCCCTCTCGTGGTTTCACCTCAGGAGAGGGACATTTGGCTGCTGAGATGACCAGTCTTTCCTTATCTCTTCTAGGTGATCAGGGCTGCCTATGACCAAGTGAAAACCATCGCTCAGGGAGGCCTTTCTGATACAGTTCTCCAAGCTGCCAAGTGAGTTGCAGCATTAGCTTTGTGTTTACTAATAATTTAAGTTGGCCATTATAATTTTTGTCTGGCTAGGCCAATACGGTAATGTGTGCTTATAAGGATTCAAAAATATAACATATTAAAAAGGAAAGGAAAAACACACTTCTACCTGGGAGATGAGACTTAAGATTTTGCCTGTTTTCATGATAACTTTTAAATCACTAATCTTGTATTTTTATTTTTATTATCATTTAATAGCACAATTGTAGAGATTTAAAATTTATAAAGATTACTAACAGTTTGATGTATGATATTAATAGCTGTCTCATCATATACTGGACATTTTCTACAGTTCATAAATTAGCTTTGGGCTTAAAATATTTCTGTGTTTCATATTACTCTTGATACAGATTCCCAACTAAATCAAGAGTTATCAACATTATAAGGAATGTTGAAATACATGTGTCCGTTTGTTTATAAAACATTCTTATATTTCTAAGTCACAATCTAGAAAGAGTTATGTACAAATTCATGTTCACATTACCAACACATGGGTGCCTATTTTACCATAACTAGAGAGGGATTTTTTTTTCCTCTTTACCAAGTTAGTAGACAAAAGAACACATGGTTTATTTTTCTATATTAAAAAAAAAATCAGGTACGCTTTTCCTATTGGTGGTATTTAAATTCCCACTGTCTAAATTGAAAGTGCGAACTACACAACACCGTTAACTCATTAGTAATTCAAGGAACTGAAACTACAATCTCTGGTATTAAACTAGTCCTTTGATGAAGTTAGAAATGCAGTCTGAGGCATTTACTGGGCCTCATCCGTTCAGGGTGCTTCAGAGTGTGGATCCTGAAACTTAAATGGTCTCCGTGATCATTTAATATTGTCCTCTCCTGTCCAGAAGCATGGTAATGTTTGTGTACAGAGTAACTTAATACCCTAATTATATATTAAATGTATGTAAACCCACTTCCATCAAGTCTGTTCTGACGTATAATAGCCCTGTCAGACAGATAAGGCTTGCTTCCTAGAGTCTCCAAGGCTGTAATCTATAGAAGATTGCCATATCTTTCTCCCAAGCAATAACTGGTGGGTTTGAACCATCAACCTTTCAGTTAGCAACCCAACACTTGGCCCACAGCACATGAGGCCCCCTATTAATGTGTATAAGCCCGTTGCCATCAAGTAGATTCTGACTCATTGCAATCCTGTAAGATAGAGTAGAACTGCTCTATAGTTTCCAAGGCTGTAATGTTGATGAAAGCAGACTGCCTCTGTATCTGCCAGCCTTCCAGTTAACAGCCCCCTACAGAACCTGTTGTGCCACCAGAGCTCCCATACATGTGTATAGTATAAATAACAGGAACATTCCACAAGGTGGATTAATAACCGAGATGGCACCCCTAATCATTTCGGTTCCAGTTTATATTGTTACTTTACTATACAGAACACACTACAAAATTACATGTTTTAAATAGATTCGGCACAATTTATTAGATATTGTATACATAGGACCAAGGATTGATACAATGCAGTTTTACCTGATGGCACTGGAAACATGAGAATAAATTGAAACACTGGACCTTGAGAAAAATTCTTATTTCACATCTAATTTAAGAAATTTTATTTTCTTAATAAGTATAGCAGAGTTTTTATAAAGCATGACAAAGTGTGGAAAAATGGAAGTTCAGTTATTAATATCAAGATGTGTTCATTTTCTGACATTTTGGTGGAGCTGATACTTTTTCTTGTAAGGTTTCTTAGTCTTCCTATAGTGAAAGAGAAAATGAGGTGTCATTGCTGAAGGGACAAACTAATAGCCTCTTGGTAATAAAGTTAATTGCAGATAAAATCCTTTTTAAATTAAACAATGTAGCAAAATTGCCACATTAAATTTTAATGTGTTAATAGAAGTCTTTCTATAGGATGATAGTTTATTTGGGGGTTAAATAACTCAAGTGCCTTATTGAATATCATATTTATAAAAATAATAGTTTCTTCCTGGAAGAACTGTGAAATTTGGGTTTTGTTTTATTTCAAACTGATCGATAAGGTGGTAGCATCTGCTAGAATAGATGCTTTTGTACCTGTTATGTAGACTGTCTAAACTACCCTCCCATGGCACCCTGCCCGCCCCCCAAAAAAAACAACCACTGTCATCCAAGTCAATACCAACTACAGCAGCCCTAAAGGACAAAGTAGAAGCAGCCCGTAGAATTTTCAATGCAGTAAACCTTTATATCACATTGTTCCCCCAGGGAGCAGCTGGTGGATTCAAATCATCAGCCTGTTGGTTAGCAGCCAAGCACTGAATGTGCCACCAGGGCTCCTGTTCCAACTGTTGGGGCTGCTAAGACCTATTCTGCCTCCCTGCCCGTTATCCCCACTTGCCTTCATCATGCCCGTCCGCAGTGAGTTTTGAGGGAGACAATAGATTTAGAACTGCTAAATGGACGATACCGAAGAACCCACATAGGTTTTTCCCTTCATAATAGTGTTGTATAACAGATTTCCAAATTGATCGTGTCATTAATAAGAAGTCGGTGAACTGAAGAAATAGGTGGAGGCCTTTAGCATTGTAAGATTTTTCAATGCTGTGTTGAAGAGTTGGGAACATACTTTAAAGCTCCCCTTTTATCTATAAAGCTGCTTTCGTTGCACACCCTTTATTGGACAGGAACAAGCTAAAAGCTGCGTACTTAATGTCAGTGGAGTCTTCGGAGGGTTTCCTGAATGAAGTGGGACTCCAGGCTTTAGTTGCTGGTTCCTATGTGCCGCCAACCACAGTCCTTCAGCAGATTGACGCAGTGACTGCCACTGATGTCAAAAATGTAAGTAGACGGAAACTTCCAGCATGTGACTTCTAGATTAGAAAAATTCTATTTGATATCTAGTAACATAACTTTAGTGATCCATTTTCAAAGCCTCCTTGCACATATTTTCTCATGCTGTTTGTTGCCTATCTACACCTGGTAGAAGGGTATATGTAGGGCATATGTAGACCCCTTACACAACTGAATTACTATTAGTCAAACCATTTGAAATCCCTTTTCTCAGATGTCAAAAGGGGCCAAATGTTGGCAATGTCATACGATTCAAACAACCACTAAAGTTTGGGCATTTTTCTTCCTCTCCCACAAAAACTAAACTTCACATCCTACCAATCCTCCATCAGCATCTCAGAATTCCCTTTTAATCTTCTCAGGCTATATTTCTTTGCTCAAATTACGTGTTGTTTGTTTCTACATATACTATTGTTCCCTTCAAGATTGGAATGTTTTCTAGGCAAGAATTATATCTTGCCTCTTTATACAGAATAAATCTGAAGTACGTGAAGTACGTGAACTACATACCCTGTGTGACATATACATGAACTACAAAGTAAACCCCAAAGCAGTAGGTGTCCTTAGTTCTGTCCACATTAAAAATTCCATCTCCTCTCCACTGTTGTGGTCTCACTTATCTTCTCACCAACGGGTGTAGGAACAACCACATCAAACCCACTGCCACTGAGTCGATTGACTCACAGAGACTCTGGAAGACAGTAGAACTGCCCCCTGTTAGTCCCTCCGGCTGTGAATATATACAGGAACGAAAACCCTCATACATTTTCTCCCTCGAAGAAGCTAGTGGTTTCAAACCACTCTGGGCAGTTGAGGTTGGCAACCCAACTAGTAACCTCTAAGCCACCAGGATTCCACTTGTACAGAGAACCAAACCAAACTCACAGCCGTCAAGTCAGTCTGACTCAAAGCACACCTATAGGGCAGAGTAGAAATGCTGCGCGCCAGGTTTCTGAGACTACAACACTTTACTGGAGTAGAAAGCCTCAGCCTTCTTCCAAGGAGTGGCTAGTGGTGTTGAACTACTGAACCTTGTGCTTAGCCCACCTCGTTAACACCCTATATCACCACTGCTCCCTGTATAAAGACAATGGGGTTAAAAAGGGAAACAAACCTATTTTAAGTTAACACTCTCTGGATTTTAATTGGCCCAGTCTATTTACAATGCAGAAACAGAAAAGCACTGACCGTCCTACATACCACACCTTGTGTGAGGTTTGCCTTCCCTTTTTAGCAGCCCCCTTCCTATATGGTAGAATGCTCAAAGGCACAAAGCTCACCTTTTCTTCCTACATTGTCACAGGTAAGTGTGACAGCTAAGTGTCAGCCACCTCCTATAATTCATTTTGAGAAACATAGAATTATTGGTTTGGAAAAATGGGGAAAGTTTACTCCATTATACATTTCCATATTTCTGTTAACTTTTGGTCTTTTCTGTTTATTTAAAGGCTGCGGTGAAGTTTGTTTCTGGCAAAAAGTCCATGGCAACCAGTGGAAATTTGGGGCATACACCTTTTCTTGATGAGTTATAATACTGAAATACTAACCATTTTCTCAAGTCATAGAAGCAAACACATGACAGTTAAAAATGTCTAATATAACATTTATCCTTTTTTGTTTTCTTTCAACAACCTAGAATATCTTTGAAGCATGAATGGGTAATTATTCCCAACTAACCTAAATTCAATAAAATATGCTATTTAAATTCTTGCAGTTTTCCTAATCAGTTTTCCTAATCACAAGTACTTATAAGCTGAGGTCTTGTACAGAAGCATCAAGAACTATAAAATGAAGGCTAAGTGACTAGCAGGATAAATAGTTCCAAATTAGTATCGATGGTGTTTAAAGATGTAAGCAGTTACACATTTATAATTTTGAATCCCCCCAAAAAACCCATTGCTGTTGACTCTGACTTCACTCCCATAGACTAGAGCTAGAGCTGAGCCGCTGGGCGTCCAACCAAGTCTGTGAATCTGTACGGAAGGAGATCGCCTCAGCTTTCTCCCGCAGAGAGCAACCACCAGATTTAAATGACTGACCTCCGTTGAGCACCCTACTGCTTAGCCACCTGCCACCGGGGCTGCTTATTTTGGTGAGGTAGTTGGGAGAGTGATTGTTTACCTCCTTTTTTTGCACTCGAGTTGTGTCTTCGAAGACACTTTAAATTCCCTACCAGTCATCCTGTATTCTCCGTGCTTCACTTCGTGTCTAATTTTCCTTCACTGTGGCAGTTTTCCTTTCTCTCACATCCCCTATCCCTCATCTGTTTCTTTCCAGTCTCATAAGTGATTAACTGAAACAACTCAACATTGAAAGTAAAAGTAGAGCTTAAAAGTGAAAGTGAGGCAGGGCCAGGTTTAGTGTGAGCAATTACCAGAACAATAATATTTGTATCCTTCTAAGTAGGGCACCTCAGTCTTGCCAAAAAAGAGCTAAGTATCTTTAAAAAAAAAAAAGATACCTTAAAAAGTTAGTTTCTCCACTATATCCACTCATTCTGATATTGCGTTTCCTCTGCTATATTTTCTAAAAGATGGTACTGCTATTTTGAGTTGAAAAACATATCAAGGTTTCACGATGCAGTCATAGAATCTGCACTCATTTCTATGAGAATAGCAACCTGTACATGATGATACACAAAAACTGGGTACTTTGAAGAGAAATGCCCAGATGGTCTTAGATTTGCCAACCATTGTTTAATCAGGTTGGCCCTTGCCCTCTTCAGTTTGGGCACATTCTTCCAGCCAGAAAGCATCTGAGGTTGAAGAGGCTGAGGAGGAGGAGGAGGAGGAGGAGGATCTTTCATTGGCTTGCTTCATCATTGTCCAGTATGGAGAAGGTGCTCTCACGTCCTTGTGATCTCTGTGAAGCATCACGTCAGAGTGAATGTCTTTCCCTACACTGATAGTATGATCCTCCTTCTCATACCCGTGCCAGTCTGTGGAGATGGACACTGGTCTCCTTGCAGTCCCAGTTGACTGTGGATATCTATAAGACTTCAATTTCTTATCTGTAACTACATCTTCATTTTCAGTGTTGCTTGTGGGAGCTTCATCTTTTACCTGCTTGGTTTTCTTGGTACTGAAATGAATAGTGAATGAAATGTATTCTTATTGTAGGAACTTTTAACAAGATGTCTTACAAACATTTTCCTCATAAAAGAAAGAATGCACAGGCCTGTGTGATCATGAGGTGTCGATGGGATCAAGTATCAGGCCTCAAAGGCCCAGAGCAAAAATTCATAATGTGAATGGGGGGAGGGCAGTGCAAAGTGGAAGCCCAAAGCCAATCTGTAAGCAATTGGAAATCCCTTACAGAAGAAGGGTCGTGGGGAGAAGACGGGCCAATCAGGGTGCAGTACAGCACCTATGAAACATACACCATTCCTCTGGTTCTTTTATGCTTCCTCCCCTCACTGTCATGACCCTAATTCTACCTTACAAATCTGGCTAGACCAGAGCATGTACATGGGTACACATTAGAGCTGGAAACACAGGGAATACAAGACAGATAAACTCCCAGGGGGGATGGACAACAGACAAGGGGGTAAAGGGAGACACTGGACAGTGCAAGACATGAAAAATAATTTGTACATTGTCAAGGGTTCATGAGGGAAGGGAACAAAATGAGCTGATACCAAGGGCTCAAGTAGAAAGAAAAAGCTTTGAAAATAATAATGGCAACATATGTACAAATGTGCTTGACGTGATGGATGGTGATAAGAGTTGTACGAGCCCCCAATAAAATGATTTATAATAATTTTTTAAAAGGAATACAATCTAGCGTTAATACAACCTTTAGGTTTTTCTTAAAAAATGAATAAAATTTTTCATAGCTAAATGTAAATTAAATTCTGACTAAAATTATTTTACCCTACTTTGAAAACGCTTTAGACAGTTTTAATCCAGAATATTGACAAGGATCCCCTCCTCCAATAAACTTTTTATTGTGAATTAGGGGCAGTTATATCAGATAATCCTTTTTGCATTCAACAATTTATCAAGCCTTCCAATGGCTTGTCCCCTGCACCTGCCCTTTTCCCCATTTCTTTCTTGTATCTGCCCCTTCACTCAAGCTAACGCTGTCTACCCACTGGCTTATTGATTCTCCTCCCCTCCCTTCCTCTCCTACTCCTGTGGCCAGCAGAGTCTATTTCTTCAGGTGTGAGAGCCTTTTCTTGGTTAGTTTTTTGTAATACTGGTCTGTATTTAGGCTTTGGGGTTTGACTTTACTCAGGTACTCTGCACAATGTCCTCTAAATGCATACCATGAGATATTTCACCGTTTTTTTGGGCCATTCCTTAACAATGGGTAGTCTATTGTGTGTATGTATCAAGTCTGTTTACCTTTTCTTCCAGTGATGGCCTTTTAATTTGTTTCCATCTTGCTATTGTGATTAGTGCTGTGATGAATGTGGGTGTGCATATATTTGTCCAGTCTATGTTCTTTATTTCTGTAGGATATATACCAAGTAGAGCTATTGCTGGGCCATCTGATACTTCTAGTCCCAATTGTTTGAGGAATAGCCATGCCACTTTCCATGTAGGTTGTACTGTGTTTTACAATTGTACCAGCAATGTACAGTGTTCTAATCTCTCTGCAACTGCTCCCACTTTTTTTAACTTTGCTGTCAGTTATGAGGTGAGACAATATTTAATCAGCTTTGATTTGCATCTCTCAGATGGCTAGTGATAACAAGCTTTCATATTTTTGTTGGCCAGTTGAATGTCCACTTTGGTAAACTTATCTATTTATGTCCTCTACCAATTTTTTAATTCAGTTATTCATCTTGTTGAGGCATTGAAGTTTTCTGTAGATTTTAGAGATTAGTCCCTTGTCATTGTCCAAAAAATTTTCCCTAGTCTATGAGTTTGTATTTTCCTCTGTTGGTGAAATCTTCTGATGTATATAAGTTTCTTATTTGTAGGTGGTCCCAGTCATCTTGTCTGTTGGTTATGCATGTGTACCAAGGTTTGTACGTTCTTCCACTGTCTGGAAGAATGGCATTTAGGTTGTTTCCATCTTCTTGCTTTTGTGAAAAGTGCTGCAATGGGTGTGACTGTGTCTGTTCCTGGCTTGTGTGTTGCTATGATGCTGGAAGCTATGTCACCGGTATTTCAAATAGCAGTAGAGTCACCCAAAGCAAACAGGTTTCAGCAGAGCTTCCGGACTAATCAAAGACTATGAAGAAGGACTTGGAAAGTTGGAAGTCATCAAAAATGAAAAGGAATGCAGAAAGATTGATAATCTAGGCATTAGTGAACTGAAATGAATTGGTATTGGCTATTTTGAATCAGTCATATCATTTACTATGCCAGAAATGACAAATTCAAGAGGAATGGTGCCACACCATCAAAAAGGACATTCTAAGTTCTGCCTTTAGGTACAATGCTGTCTGTGATAGGGTACTACTTATCCACATACAAGGAGATCCAGTCAATACAACTATGCTTGAAATTTATGTACAAACCACAAAAGCTAGTGATACAGAAATTGGAGGATTCTACCAACATCATCTACTTGAAATTGATAAATCATGCATTCAAGATGTATTAATAATTTTTGGTGATTGGAATGCAAAAGTAGGAAATAGGAAGGAACAGTAGTTGGAAAACAAGGCCTTGGTGATTGAAAGGAAACTGGAAATTGCATGATAGGATTTTGCAAGACCAACAATTTCTTCATCACAAATACCTTTTTCAACAACACGTGGACTTCTATATATATGGACTTTTCCAGATGGAATGCACAGAAATTAAATTGACTGCATCTGTGGAAAGAGATGATGGAGAAGGTCATTATCAGTAGCTACAACGAGGCCAGGAGCCAACTGGGGGACAAACCATCAAGCTGAACCTGAAGAAAATTAAAACAAGTTGACAACCAGAATACAACCCAACTGAATTTTGAGAACATTCCAAGAACAGATACGATGCATTAAACACTAATAGACCTGATAAGCTGGCATCAAGAATATCATACATGGAAGAAAGCAAAGGGGCATTAAAAAGAGGAAAGAAACAAAAGGTCCAAGTGGTGAGGGCAACAAATGTATAGATGTGCTTTACACAATTGATCTATGTATTGTGATGAATTGTATGAGCCCCAATATGATTAAAAAAAAAAAAAAAAAGATCCAAGTGGGTGTCAGAAAAGACTGAGACTTATAAGTAGCTAAGCCAAATGGAAGAAATGATGAAGTTAATAAGCTGAATAGATCATTTCAGAGGGCAGCTCGAGAAGATGAAGTAGAATATAATGAAATGTGCAAAGACCTAGAGTTAGAAAACCAAAAGAACACGCTCAGCATATCTTAAAGAACTGAAGAAAAAAAGTCAGGCCTCGAGTTGCAATATTGAAAGATTCCATAGGAAAAATATTGAATGATGGAAGAAGAATCCAAGGAAGATGGAAAGAATACACAGTCACCATACCAAAAAGAACTAGTCAATATTCAGCTGTTTCAAAAGGTAGCATATGATCAACAACCAGTGGTACTGATGAAAGAAGTCCAAGTTGCACTGAAGGCATTAGCCAAAAACAAGACTCCGGGAACTGATGGAGTACCAATTGAAATGTTTCAACAGGCTGATGAAGCACTAAAAGCATTCACTCATCTAGGCCAGGAAATTTGGAAAGCAGCTAGTTGGTGAGCTGCCTGGAAGAGATCCATATTTGTACCCATTCCAAAGAAAGGTGACAACAATGCTCACATTAATTGAACCATATTATTAATATCCCATGTGTAAGTAAAATTTCGCTGAAAATCATCCAACAGTCATAGCAGTACATTGGCAAGGTGCTGGTAGAAATTCAGGCTGAATTCAGAAGAGGACATGGAAGGAACAAAGGATAATAATGTTGACTTCAGATGAATCTTGGCTGAAAGCAGAAAACACTAGAAAGATGTTTACTTGTGTTTTATATTGACTGCAAAAGCATTCAACTGTGTGGGTCATAACAAACTATAACAAACCTTGAGAAGAATGGAAATTCCAGAACATTTCATTATGCTCATGAGGAAACTGTACATGGATCAAGAAGTTGCTGTGCAAACAGAACAAGGAATATTACATATTTTAAAATCAACAAAGGTGTGTGTCAGGGTTGTATCCTCTCTCCATACTACTCAATTTATATGCTGAGCAAATAATCAGAGAAGCTCGATTATATTGGAGGAAGGCTTATTAGCAGCCTACGATATGCAGGTAACCTAGCTTGCTGCAAGTGAGGAGGACATGAAGTACTTGCTGAAGATGAAGATCAAGGATTGTAGCCTTCAGTGTAGAAAACCCAAATCCTCACAACTGGACAATAGGTAACATGATCAAGGGAGACGAAGTTGAACCTGTAAGGATTTCTTCGTGCTCGACTCCACAATTAATGCTTATGGAAGCAGTAGTCAAGAGAATCGCCGCTGCTGTATGTGAAAGGCAGACACGGAATACGGAAGACCAGAGAAGGACGGATGCATTTGAATTAAAGTGTTGGTGAGGGATATTGAAAGTACCATGGGCTACGAACAAACCTGTACTGGGTAAAGTGCATTCAAGAGTGCTCCTTAGAGTAAGGTGACCAGACGTCCCGCTTGTGGCGTTTTTAAAAAGTCCCAATTTTTGGAGAATGCATGACAAGCTAGGGAATGGTCTATTTGGTCCATATAGATCAAATTTTTAATCAAGAACCCCTTCCCTCTTCCCCATCTCCCCCAGTCAATGGTGTCCCACTTTAAATCTGGTTACCTTACCTTAGAGGCAAGACTATCATATACCTTGGACATGTTGTCAGGGCGGACCGGTCCCTGGAAAAAGACAGCATGCTTGGTAAAGTAGAGGGGCAGCAAAAAAGAGGGAGACCGTCAAGCTGGGTGGACACAGCAAACCTAAGAACCGCTGTGACGGCGGCGCAGGGCAGTGTTCCTCCTGCTGTACGCAGGGTTCCTGTGACCAGAAGCAACAGCAGGGAGCTGCCTGGTGTTGTGTGCGTGGTCTTCATTTAATTTGAAAAGTGTTTAGAGCCTCTAAATTTGCTCCTATTTTCTTGATGATCTTTTTATAGTTACTGGGGTTATGTTTAGGTCTTTAATCCATCTTGAGTTCACTTTTGTAT